GAAAACAAGATGTTCAAGTAGTGGAAGTTTATGTTCTCAAGTTCAGTAAAAAGACTTTCTTTGTATGTGTCCCGCCTCAAAGCATCGACAGCACAGAACAAATACACAATAATCATGAGTCATCGACAACTTTTTATACAGTAGCTATGGAAACGGCGTCACCATACAACAACAAAACACAAGTGACATTTCAATGTGTCCTTTGTAAAAAAAAATCCCATTACAGTAAGAGCTTTGAATCTGAGATTTCCTCTAAAAATCACCAGGTCGGTCATATACTGGAGACATTTAGACCCGTTTGAAGACTCATAAAACAATCATCGAAGCTCGCTCAAGTTTTTATTCCAGTAAAATATAGGGACCAAAAAAAGATGAAGAGGGAAGGCAGTGGAAAGGCTTACAGGTAGAACTAAAAAAAGGGGGATTTTTGGTAAATGGAAGTGACAGAAAACAGGTTTCTAACGGCAGAAAAAGCCGATGTCCCGGATATAAAACCATAACTGTATGTGACAATATTTGAGCGTACATGGGAATGTCCTCCGTCCAAAACAGACTCCTACTGGGCTCACCTCATAATCATTTATATTGGCTAAACATGAAATCCTTTCAGAGCAACTCAACCAACGCTAAATAGAAAGTGAAGGTCCCATAGCTGAAAGGAGTCTGAGCTTTTTTTGGGGGGTCATGGGGAAGTTGTGGTGTATATTGGGAGACAAGAATGTAGTATGGTTGTCCCAATGACAGAATTTTAAACTTAAATATCAGACAAAAATCTAATGAATCCAATGGTCAATGCAATGGCAACAAAAAAAGAAGTCCTTGGCACCCATTGTTTGGTCATTTCTTGTTAATTAATAAAAAAATCCCAGGCAAACTCCTGCACACTGACTTAATTGAACAAATTCTTTGGCAATGTTTCAGGACTACAATTTTGTAAATGTATTTTTCCAAATTAGGCGTTCAGAGCACATGTCGATAATATCAATCATTAAAATAACAGAGATTGTATCATTTTAAAACATATGGTGATGCAAAAGTTTCCACGTTTTAAACATTAAGACAACCTCACAATATGTTCTCTGAAACTGTCAAACTAAACAAACTAAATACAGAAAAGTGATGTTAAGAGCTGGGAGGACAGTGTGGACAATGGCCCTGATGAAGCCCACAAGCCGAAGCATGTCGGTCTAATAAAGTGGATCTTCATACTATAAGTGTTGCTGGAGCTTTTTGACCTTTTCATATCCACATTGAAACTGGTCCCAGAGAAACTGATGTCCCAGGACAACAAACAAAAAAAGCTTTTTCACTGTGATTGTTCAGTCACAGGCCAATGTGTTTATATTTTTTTGCTCTTTACAATGTCTGAACATGACATACAGTGTGGTATGGTCAAGAGCAAGTTAAGGGTTTGGCAAGTAAAATATTTGTATGGTTTACATAGAAAACTAAACATGTGACAAGTTAGGAAAAAAAGATTGTGATGAAGTTAATGCAGACGACCTGCTTGTCGGATGCTCATAAAGTGTTTTAAATAAGCCTTTAATGTCTAGAAAAAAATTCAGGCAGGCTGCTCCCCAAAATGTTCCTGAGTTGCCTGTTGATAGACGTTCCCCACAGCAGGAGAAATGGTGGACGAAGCAACAGAGTCCGAGGCTATTCACAGTATCAACTAAAGTTTGGAGAGGAACATACTGGTGAACAGAAACAAATGATGAAGCGGTTTCATCACATGCACTGTCGTGATCCCCTTGGTCCTGTGTCATTGCAGGATATAAACGATATCCCTGCCTTCAACCTCGCTCATGGGGAATTTTTTACTGTTCTGTCCACACAACGGCTTATTGGGTCTGAGTGGATATTTTCCAGTGGGGCTGGCAAGAAAAACACAACTTTTTATGCCCAAATATGAAGCGTTTCCCCGAGAATTTCAGGACGTTTTCTGGAGTTTTGTGCATGTGTGAAAGCACATCTTGTTTGATGGTCAAACGTTTCTGAAACAGTTACCAAAGTCAGTAAATCTAGTACACAGGAGTATAAATACATGTGTCCAGGGGGATGTAGGCAGCATTAGAACTCACATACCCAAAACAGCATAACCAATCCCTTCCTTTGTCGTATCTATATCTACTCTCAAAAAGGTTAAGGGGGCACTCACAGTAGGCAATCCGTACTGTGCCTTAGCAAGTTTGATTCCCAAATTCCAATTGGTCTGACTAGTGTGTGAGTGTTCCGTTCTGCGCTTGAGCAGGGTAACCATCCTTGGCCCTGGCACAGAAGAGGTGTGCTTCGGCACGGTAATGTTCATACATGAGCACAAGTCCTGACACACGACCTGGACATGAAGTATTATCGATCCTCCCCCTTCATTATCAAGAAACCCCAGAGTGTTCTGGCTGTTTCTGACTTAAACCACTCAAGATAAACCACAAAGTCAATAAAGTTGCTGTCATGTTGTCGTTGCTATTCTCTAATACATACACAGACTCTGCCTGTCTTAAAAACTAAGCACGCTTCATTATCCCGTAAAGCCATGCATGTGTTGCACGATGTTATGTACAAGAGGTGCCCTCAGTCTTGCATTAGCACTTAATGTTGGGACTGAATATAAACTTAATCTTAAATTGGAGAATCATTCTGTATGAATAGGTTAAGTTAAAATAAGATGACTCACACTCATTCTGATATCCAGAGGTGGTTCAGCATTAGAACATCTGATTTCTTATAGTCACGAGAAAGTCTCTAACTGTGAAGCCTGTGGCAGTCCACAATTTGACGAGCTGTGTTTCCTCCACAGCATCGCAAACCTTTCCATTTGAGAGCACAGGAACACAAAGAGCGTCCTGCAGGAACCGGATGAGTTATTTCTGAGCTTTTTTCAATGTTCAAAATATAAATTAGTTTGAATCCGTTGGTTGTTCAAATTCATCCACCTGCCTTCCTTACACGAGCTGACATTAAGCTGGCATGAGGACAAGTGTGTTCTCTACAACGCACTTCAAAAGCACCGTGTGAACAACGTCGTCTCGAGCACACACACACACACGGCAAGTGTAGTGCAGATGAAACCCCTCACGCATTACCACACAAACTAAACACTTCTCACCCTGGTGCAGCGTTTGACCCATCTGCTACTTCCAGCTAACTCAATGCACACACACACACACACACACACACACACACACACACACAGGATAAAGAGGGCAGAGGAAGCCGATCAAACAAACAAACCATCCCTCTCCTACAGGGCTGTATAGGAGGAGAAGCACAGCAGGGAGTAACAGGATTGTAAAAATGGAAATCAAAGGGGAGTGGGCTGACCCACATAATGAGTTTTCTAATGGATGTATGAGGGAGGTGTGGACAACTGACCTAAGTTAACACCAGGTGTCAAGGCTCAAACTGAACAATTAATTGAGTAACTTCCTGCTGTAGGTCTGATCAGCACTCTAATCATAAACCTGACTAACACAATATAGTTTGAGGTCGATTTACTCTTGTACTGTGATCAGACCCAAACTGGCCAAGGCTTCTGAGCATGCTCCACAGTTCCCTAGTCAGGCTTTGACCCTGAAGTGGAACATCAGAAATACTGTGCAGCATATCTACTTAGTGCTAGAGCAGTCGACAAACAACCAGTTTGCCGCTTGCTTACTTTTTGGTTGATTGTTTCGGTGTGTGATGTGATAAAGTCAAGCAGAAAAAGGTCTAATAGTAATTAGCTGAAAGGGTCATATCGCCAACGAACCATAGCGGAGTCTGAAATACTTCCCTCAATAAATCAATTACAAGGACGAGGACAGTAGTCCAGTGGACTTATCATGCTATAGGTGTACCTCGACTTAACTATGCATGTTACCGTCTGATTGAAAACACAAGTTATACATGTATGAGGTTCAATAAGTTCAGTGGGTCCTCAGTGGAGTGCTTACGAGAAGAACTTGTGTTTCATAAAACATATTGACATGAGAGGGTTTCTCTTTAAAAAGATCTCTGTTACTACTAAGACATTGTAAACCGATATGATTTGAATGTTCACGTTTATAAAGTAAACAGTCTGGGACTTCAAATATCCAAAGGTACCAGGATAAGTGTTTCAGAATGACAATGCCAATGCCTTACTTTAATACATAAATAAAAAGAAAAACATTTTAAAGCAGAGATAAACCATTAGTCATTTCTAGCTTGTGAACATCAAATCTGTACGATCAAATGCCAGCTGTCACTGTAAGGTTTGAGCAACTGTTGCTAACTTACTGCTAGCTAACCTATCACTCACCTGCTCAGAGACTATTGTTGAAAATGAATGATTTAATAGTCTGAAAAAACATTGGCTGCATTTCAACAGAAAGGAAGCTAGTTAGTCAGAAGTGCCAATAATTTGAGCTTTTATCTGCAAACACTCATAAATCCCCGATCATCTATTCCTGAATCACTCCAGGGGAACACCTTTGTTTGATAGTAAATGAATAAAGAGTCCATATAGCGATTGATACTGAAAATCGTTGTTGTTATTTTGCTGCCTACATCATTCTAATTATTTCTGACAAACATATTACATGTTATAAATAAGCACACATTGGACTACTTGTAATAAGGATTCAATCTAATCAAAGCATCCAGAATGGCAATGACTTTTTTATGAGCTTTGCTTGACCAATCACACACTCACCTTCAATGTAAAAAAGAACAGATGATTTTATAAGCTTTACATTGACTTAATGACCCCTCATGTGACAAAACGACTGTCTGCAGGCAATACGGCCAACAGTACACAAAGGAAGATGATGAATATAACAAAATGAATTTGGCTTCATGTCCATCAATAGCGCAGACTTCATGATGACTTAAGGATGAGTTAGGAATTTATCATCAACAGGAGGAATTTTACTCTTTTAATAAAGCACCTGTCGGGCCAATAGCAAACTGTTCATACAAAATTTCCCCCAGCTGTGGGTTCATATAATGTAAGGACAGTGTTGTAGCAGCGTGAATCTTACCTTCTAAAACCTGCAGGGCAGAGGCCAGCGAGCACAGCAGGGCGAGATGCAGGGCACGAGACCACCTGAGGAGACACGGCACTCACATTATGAATGTAGTTACGTTTGACCAAGTTTTCATTTGACGTTTCAAATGCTTTAAAAAAGGTTCATAGCACTCAATGAAAGTGGCTTATTGTGCGAGTAATAAGGATGAATGTCTGCACACTTTACGCACGGAGAAGTTGTGCAAAAATAAATGTGGCTGCATCACAGGTCGGTCTATACTCCGAGTTGTAATTGACCTAAAGGTATGAATTTTGTAAGAGTCAATTTAAAACAACTCTGCTGCTTATTTATTGTAAAGATGATGTGTGATTGACTTACCCCGGAAACATTTTTACGCGTAACGGAATTAAAATCCAAAGTTTGAAAATGAACTCCAAGTGCATGTGTGGGATGAAATTCCGGCAAACTCCGTGGTCCCCCTGCCTCTCTGTGCAGACCTGAAGTCACACTGCTTTTTGCTCTCTCTCTCTCTCTCTCTCCCTCTCTCTCTCTCTCAGTACAAAGCCTCTCTCAGTTCAGAGCTGAGTGACTCTCAGATCCACGGAGTTGGGAAATTTGACTCTCTTGAAGGAAAAAAAAACCTCCCCCCTCACTCACTGAGAGGACCCCCTCCCCTAACCTGCGGCCTGATTCAAGCTCCTTCATGATGATATAATTTCCATGTATATTTACGCTCCGGCTATGGATAAAGTTAGACATCTATGTAGGATTTTTTTTAAATGTCTTTCAATATTTTATTTAGACCATTTTATTGCAAATAAAAATCAGTATGTCAAAGGTCTGGACTGATCTTGAGAGAGATGTTTGTGATCAGAATCAAATATTGAATGACTGGTGAATGTGATGGTTAGTGATGCAGGTCATTAAGTACCGTTAAATGCTGTTGATCTGACTCTATTACATCCCGCTGCATGTCCAGGGGCGGCGCAGATTTTTTTTGTCTCAGGTGGCCCTACTTTTACGATGGGGGGGGGCATTAAGGTTTTCCTGTGAGGACGTTTTAATTGGCTATAACAGACTGAAATTAATACTGAGACCTTTTATGACCAAATAATGCAAACAAGATCATCTGTAACTTTTTTTGTAGTATTTTTTAAATGTATTCCTGCTGCAAGAGGGTAAGTGTCAGATAAGACAATGACACCATGCTGAATACAGTTTACACATTTTACAATTCAAAGAGGATGAGATTTTCATCAGATAAAATAACATTTAAAGGTAGAGGACAAGAACAGCAAAGCGATAACACATAACATTTCAATTAAATTAAGTAAATGTATTTTTATTTCAAGAATAACACAACAATGTGGCACTATACAAATCTATTTATAAATTTAAAAAGTAAAAGTATCAAAAATACTGACTGAAAACCTTTAAAGAAACATAGAAATGTAATAAAAGCTACAAGCTGCCTGTTGTAGCCAAGAGGCAACCTTCTGTGTTGAAAAATTAAGCAAATGATGAAGTGCAAAATCCTGCAGCTTGTCAAGGGTACACTGAAGGGTTAGCTCCAAGAGCCCCAGAATTCAGCTACACACACCCTTCAAAAGTGAATGTTTTAAAACGAGAAATAAACATGTATGGGATTTATTTGAATTTATTTTGATTTTAATAAAGATACGTGTTATCCAAAGTTAGGCACGTGTCTGACCTGATCGACAGGCGGGCCCGGTGTAGCGGTTTTATGAGAAGCCTTAAAACCCGCCTCAGCTCCAGCTCTCAGCCTGTCGTTAAGTTGACTGAAAGTTAGGCTGAGACAGAATTTCCAGCACGGCGGCTGCTGCTGATGAGCCTCTGGAGCCCCCTGCAGGAACAGATGAAACCGATGTCACTCAGGCTTCGTCCATTAATATTTACAGTCTATGGTTGCAGCACATCCCACGCTTTGGTTTTAGCAAAAGTCCCGACCCTAACTGGTAAGTTAGGGTCGGGACCAGTCTCTCAATGGTAGTAGTGGAAGTAGAGGCGCTGCTGGGACTTCTTGGCCAGTGATCCGGTGTTGGTTGTCCAGGAGAGATCCTCACTGATGTGAACCACCAGGAACTTGGTGCTGCTTACTCTCTCCGCAGCAGCACTGTCGATGGTCAGTGGGGGTTTAGGAATGGGGACTCTCCGGAAGTCGACAACAACCTCCTTGGTCTTGTCGACGTTCAGGAAGAGGTTGTTGTCTCTGCACCACGTGGCCAGTTGGCTGACCTCCATCCTGTAGTGCGTCTCATCGTTGTTGGAGATGAGACCAACTACTGTTGTGTGGTCCGTCAACTTCACAATGTGGTTGCTGCTGAAGGTTGGAGCGCAGTTGTGGGTCAGCAGCGTGAAGAGCAGGGGGCTGAGCACACAACCCTGGGGGGCCCCAGTGCTCATGACGGTGGTTTTTGATGTGCTGCCGCCGACCCGCACTGCCTGAGGCCTCTCGCTGAGGAAGTCCAGCAGCCAGTTGCACAGGGAAATGCTGAGCCCCAGCTGTTCCAGTTTGCCGATCAGTTGCTGAGGGATGATGGTGTTGAATGCTGAACTGAAGTCTATGAACAGCATTCTGACGTATGAGTTTTTGGTGTCCAGGTGGGCTGGGTGAAGAGCAGAACAGATGGCATCCTCGGTGGATCTGTTACCTCGGTATGCAAACTGGTAGGGGTCCAGGGTGGCGGGGAGGGTGGATTTGATGTGGGCCATGACTAACCTTTCAAAGCACTTCATTTCGATGGGGGTCAGTGCAACGGGTCGATAGTCATTGAACGTGGATGGTGAGGGCTTCTTTGGAACGGGTATGATGGTGGTGGCTTTGAAGCATGACGGAACAACAGCCTGACTCAGAGAAGCATTGAAAATGTCCGTGAAGACATCTTTGAGCTCCTCTGCACAGTCCTTCAGCACATGGCCAGGAATGTTGTCTGGACCTGCAGCCTTGCGGGTGTTGATCTTGGAGAAGGTTCTCTTCACGCTGGCTGCAGTCAGGCACAGGGTCTGGTCGTGGGGAGGAGGGGTGGTCTTCTGTGGGGGCGTGCTGCTGTGTGCTTCAAACCTGGCAAAGAAGCTGTTGAGGTCGTTCAGCAGAGAGGTGTTGCTGTCACAGGTCTGTGGCTTGGGTTTGTAGTCCGTGATGGTCTGGATACCACGCCACAGGCTCCGCACGTCTCTGCTGTCCTTGAAGTGTCCGGTTATTTTTAGTGTGTAGCTGCGTTTGGCTTTCCTGATGCCACGGGACAGGTTGGCCCTCGCTGTTTTCAGGCAGGCTGCGTCCTCAGCTCTGAAGGCGGTGTTCCTGGCCCTCAGTAGCCCGCGTACCTCTCCTGTCAGCCATGGCTTCTGGTTAGCCCGGGTGGTGATGGTTCTGGTGGTGGTGACATCAGCAATACATTTGCTAATGTAGGAGGTAACAGTGTCAGAATATTCCTCAATGTCTGTGAGGTTGTTGTAGGTGGCTGCCTGCTCCCAGTCTGTGGTATCAAAGCAGTCTTGTAGTGCAGCAGAGGCCCCGTCTGGCCACACACGTACCTGCTTCAGAACTGGTTTGGTGACATTAACCCTGGGTCTGTAAGCTGGCATTAGCATTACACTGATATGGTCAGAGTGGCTGATGTAGGGGAGGGGTGAAGCTTTGTAAGCACCTTTAACTGATGTGTAAATCATGTCCAGAATGTTACCTTCTCTTGTGGGAAAGGTCACCTGTTGGTGGAAGTGGGGTAAAACCGTCTTGAGATTTGCATGGTTAAAATCCCCAGCGATGATGAAAAATCCGTCTGGGTGGGCTGTCTGTTGCTCACTGATGGCGTTGTAAAGTTCCCAAAGTGCGTCGATTCTATCAGCGTTGTTGGTGGTGGGGGGAATATACACAGCGACCAGCAGGGTCGATAGAAAGGACGGCACTTAATGATCATAAACTCCGCCAGCGGTGAACAGTGTTTACGTACCACAGCAGCATCTCGACACCAAGCATCACTGATGTAAAGCCATGTCTCTGTGAAAATGTACGCACAGCCGTCCTTCATGTCGCGGTGCGCAGCTCTCAGTAGCTCTATATGGTCCATTTTATTGTCCAGAGATCTTACATTTGCCAGTAGAAGAGTTGGAAGAGCGGACCTGTGTGGTATTTTAGCCAGTCTCGCTCTTATGCCTCCATGTTTACCTCGCTTTTGTTTCCGCTCGCACCGTTTACGTTTACGTTTACGTCTCCTCTCCGGGGGGTAAACCGGCTCGCAAAGCAGTCTCAAAGTTTGAAGCTGTTGTCTCAGTGATTCGGGTAATAACTCCACAGAAAGGCTGTTACTGTTTAAGTCCAGTAAAAATCGACGGCTGTAATTGTGTTTTTCCATAGTAAAACACGGAGAAAAGTGAAAAGAAAACTTAGAAAAAGAAGAAAACACCGCTCTATCGGGAGAGAGAGGGGCCGCTGCGACCGGTCGCGCCGCCAGTCAGTCAAAGACTCCATGTTGATTGCCCTGATTGTCTTCACCTGTGTCGTTAGTTTCACCCGTGTCTGATTCACCCAGAGTCTATTTAGTCTCTGTGTTCCTTCCCTTCTTGTTGTCAGTTTGTCATATTTCAAACCTTCTCCATGTCTCATTCTGAACTTTTCTGAGCTTGTGTCTTTTTCTTTCTCCTTGTGTTTTTACTTTTATGTTGCACCACGGTACTTTTTGGAGTTTAGACTCTGATAAGAAAGTAGGATTTGTGTTTGTCTTTTTACCCTCTGTTGAAATAAATGAAGAGTAACATCTCAGCAGGTTTAGAATAAAGTAGACTGTAAGTAGGAGAAAATGTTTAAACTTCTGATATTAACCGGCCCAACCGAAATGTAAATCCTGACACTGCTCCTGATGGACAGAGTGAGGGCATGAACATGAAAGAGCACCAGAGCTATTTTGGGTTTGGTATATTCAGGAGGTGAACTGGCACCTCTCCAGCTACCAAATCCATTTCCAGACTTGTTTTGATGATCCTCTGGTTCCCAACCCAAGTCCCAACAGACTGAGCTACTGCCATCCCTCAGTACTAAACCTCATCTTAGCCAAAAGGCAGAGAAGCAATTTAATAAACATTACCTTATTTGGGCGTATTCACTGTTCCTTTATTTATATTTCTGATATCACAAATCACTGAACGAACTGAAGGGGATTTGCAACCTTATAGTCTCGACCATTCAATCAGATAAGACAAACCTTTAATGAAAAACAAACCTCAGAAATAGCAACAGAAGAGCTTTCAGCTCCCAGACAGATGGACACGATGCAGCAGCTGTTGTGTGGCATATAAAAAAACAAGGTCAATTCATTAAATAAACAAGAAAGACATCTTTTTACTCAAATACTTTCTCTTGAATATGCTAACAGATGCTGTCTGGTTTTGTACGTTTTCAGTGATAGAAGTTTTAAAATCCTTTATTGACAGTTTTGGTACACATTGATGACACGTTTGGTGGGCGGAGCTCTGCTAGGAGGCAGACAGTTAGCCTGTCGTATAGTGTGCAGTGAATTCACAT